GCTATTGGATCCCAGAGACACGAAGGTTCATGACATCACTAATGATTGGTACTGAGGATCAGGGGAGCCCGATTTTGCGGCCAACCATATGCGATCAGTCCAAGTGAAATTTTCCCTCGCGAGAGGATGCAATAATTGAATTTATGTGTTTTCTGTCTGATTTTCAGGTCGATGAATCCAACAGTTTTGCTTACACAATGAACAGCATCCTCGGCAAGATCGTGACAGGTCGAACAGGTGCTGATAGACTCGCAACTAGCTTAATGAGATTGAAGAACATAATTCGAGAAGTGAGCTTTTCCGCATTAATTTACATGTACCATAGGGTTCTCCTCTGTCTGTTAAGCAGCGGTGATAAATGATGCCATTCTTCAGTGGCTAACGTTGTCGCATAATCAGTCGATATTCACTAGGACAGACATAAAGTACAGATGATTTTTTCATTTTTCGGTTCCTCACCGGCCACTGAACAATCCGAGCTTTTCTGATCAGAAATGGTCAACGTGATTTTTAGATTATGGCATAAAAGCGTCAGCTTTGGATCGCTTCAAAACACTATTTGATCTGCAAGTAGAGGTCATTTCAAGAATCAACCGGCATAGTATATTTTTCCTTGTTTCAAATGAGTCATTTAACATAATCAAACAGATCTGAACCGCCTTCAGAAAGCCTGCGAATCAGGCGTATAATAGTAGAAAAAAATCATTAACGTAAGTTTTTTTAGGATTGGCGTTTCCTCATACTGAAGTGAGGGCTTGTAAGTAGTGGAGGATTCTGTGCTGGTAGGTTGAAACGGTCGTTGCTTGCAATTCGTCAGTAACATATGTCGCGATTAAAACCTCAAAAAATGTTGTACTTTACCGCATTCGTTGGGCTGCGTGAAAATTCGAGTGATAATGGCCCAGGAGGGTTGATTAGCCGAAATTTAATTCTTAACGGCCGCTCTGTAAGAGATGTTCAAGAAGAGGAAATATCAAAGAATCGTCGGCTTGCGATCATTGCGGTTCCACAGCGAGCAAAGCTCGAAAAAAGGACTGCGTTGTACTTTTAAAGCAGACAAACACTCAAAACTGCTAAGTGCAGTAGCTAAGGCCACTAATTTTATGCAAATCAAGAAAATAATTTATTTATTAACTGCAAAAATCCTAAGAAGGGAATTAATGAGATGTCTGCTAACGGTCACGGCAGTATTGGCGTTATGACATTGTGCTTCCGTTGCTCTGATGCTTGAAGAGTAAATTTTATGTACCTCCTGCGGCGAGTAAAATCCATGATTAACTCGTCATGCATGGTGTCTTCAGACCTCGTCACCTTCCGTCCAGTCTCGCACAACTCCTCTGCCAATATCTTGTTTCTCTTGTCAGATCAGATCTTAGCATCCATCTTTGGAAACTGAAACGAGTTTCCAGCTGGGACACCTTAGCAAACCGGTTAACCATCGCTGTCTTGAATCCGCCCAAGAGGTCGCAGGGTCCAAGGCGCGGGCTCCAGATATCTGCATTGCATATCCTGTTATGAACGCTCGGTGACAGGAGTCCACGCATGGTCTTTGGCGAGGTTAGCTCGTGGGTACTTGCCCGTTTACCGTATCCCAGGTGAAAAAACCTTAGGCGGGCATTTCAGCGATCCGTTGGCCACGAACCTGATTTCATTACCATTTGTAGGGGATCAATCCAGACTTCTGCTGACCGAGCTGCAGTTTTTACCATTGCTGTACAGCGATGCTATGAAACAGAAACAACAGCAGCTTACACCGGACACCGTTTCTCATTGTCTTGTGGTCATGCTGTTCAGAGTACCATTGTATAATTGACATTCCGTAGACAATTGTCGTTCGCCTTTATTAAATATAAATGTGCCATTTGTATTTTTGTTTATCCACCTGCAGCATATCAGTTTCATAATCTCTTGCCCTTCTCTCTGTAGTGCTCATCACCGCACCTTTAACGGACATTTATGATAGGAACTGGCAAAGGAAGTTGCGAATTGGCATGAACTCCATTTAGTTTATTTCGAATCGACGTTGAAAGTCTTGCTCATTTATAGACTGTATCACCAGTGCTTGGGGACCGTGGTCACCATGCAGCGGTCCGTGCAGCAGTGGTAGTCGAAAGAGGACGCGAACGGTTCTCGCCTCACCGATGTTCAACGGCAGCAGCTGCGGAGACCTGGTCGAGAGGCAAAGCTGTATATCGCCGTCATGCACCGCTGACAGTAAGAACAGCATTCCGAAAATTGCATCTGTTTGTTGTACACACATAGTCTTGACGCATTATTTTTTTCGACCTTCAATATTTTTCCGATTTTTCTCAGACGATAAAGCTACAGCATGCTTTGCACCCGTGTGTTGGTCTATGGAAAACAGCCAAATTCAAGTAGCAGTAGTTATTTCCTGACGTACTGCGATGCCTGAATACTCCGCCCTCACCACAGAGGTGGTCAGCTCTCTTAAACAGGACATGTCTTGACAGAATTGTTCCGTCTTGTTTATCAGTTATTGAATACTAAGCCAGTGATTTGCTGAAATTTTGAACGGTGCAGCTTCGAATTTCCTAAGGTAATCGCACTGCAACTAAGCGGCCTAAACGCCGAACCTTGTTAGCTTCTGTAAGGGCGGTGAGACGCCATCTTCCTACTTGAATTTATGATTGACGCCATTCCGAGACAGATTACAAAGGTTTCTTATTATTCCGTTTCCCAGAGTGCAACCTGCGTTTCAAGATGGTAAATCGTACTTCTGTCTAATACTTAATACTAGTTCCATTTATATTAGGCCTAGCCTACCCATGCTTTTCTGTTATTCATTGAAGCTGAAAGTTCCATATATGTTCCCACAATATAACATAATAGCATGATTCAGCCTCAGTATTACTTCCTCCCTGTTTACTCACAGACCCATTCCCAGAGATCTCTTGATCATAAGCATCCGAACCCAAATTATTTCAGTTTATCATACTTGGCTCGTACTTTATCGCTTCGGTTCAACCTCCTTAGTTGCCAGCTTTGCAACTCGTTTTCCTCGTCTACAAATTGTAACGCGCCATCGTAATCATATATTGACCAATTTTCTGAACTTTAGAGGGTTCTTGACTTCGTTTGTTTCACTGCATCACATTTTCAGATCAAATCAATCTACTATGTCAAAACGCACCCTTGAATTCCTACCAGCCGATCGGCCAATGTCCAACGAAGTACGTCTACTGCCCGGCTGTTGGAACGGCCAGGGTGTTATCATGTCCTTTTGACCAGGCGTTCAGCGTCGAGAAGCAGATATGCGTCCCAAAGAATATGCTGAGAGGATGCTTGCCTCCTTCCGGTAATCCTACTCAATGCAGGCGTATGCAGGCCATTGACCATTGATGTGTTGCCCTAACGCTTTCAGGGAACTTCTGCGTCGGCAAGCCGAACGGTGCCTATCCAATGTGCTCCTGTTGCACTGACTACATTCTGTGCTGGCAGGGAATGTCGAAGACCATGCGGTGCGGAATGAACGAAGTTTTCCAACAGTACCCGTACGGTAGCTGCGTTCCGCGAAACGAAAATCTCTGCCCCAGATCAGCGCCGTTGTAGAAGTTCTGATTCGTTGGCGGACGCAAGTACTGAAGTGGACGAAGACCGCCGTCCCGCTACGTTTTTGTCGTTAGTTGAGTTACTGGGTTACTGTGAATTACATGTCTAAGTTTATTGGTTTCCAATGTTTGTTTCGTTCAATGCTTGTTTCGCTTAACGATAAATGTTTTCGTATACGGAGCAGCTAACGGTACTGTACTTGAAGCATGTTCCCTTCGGCATCAGTTGTGCTTATATCCACCTTTGCGTTAAGCCATCATCGTCCAGGGTAGGGGTCAAAGGCTGCAGGGCTTCAACCCATGTCCGTTTTTTTAAACGGAAACCGGATGCATACAGGTTTAGTCCAAAGCATTCAACGATTCCTGAAGGAGTAATCCATAAGCAATTGCACGGTAGTTTGAGGAATCGTTTTTCTCGTATTTTGTTCATCCATCAGACATAAAAATCAGTGATTGAGCTCTCACAGGGAGTCTAATGAGTTTTCTGTGAATTGAAGCAATTTTTACTGACTCAGCGTGGGGAGCACTTCCAAGCAAAAGTCAACTGAAATATATATTCCCCCATTATTCTTATGATTCTATTTTCTCCCACGCAGTGATAATGGGAACCCTGAATTGCCATCGCTTTTGTATGCGCCTCCGGGACTCTTCACATTGTGGCGCGCATCAACCAAGCTCCGTGACCGCGATTCCTGATATTTAATTTCCTGGATTAGATTCTGTCCTTCCCTGCAGTTTTAACAGCACAGGTCTTTCTCGTCTTCCATACTTTTATGCCCTTACTGAGTTTCCAAAGAAAAATTTCACCAACTAACATTATAGTGTGTTTGCTTATGATTCTTTAAAGCAATGAGTTCAACACCTTAGTTCTAGTTGCGCAAATTTTGGAAGTCTTTTCATAGTGTTGAAGACAGCACTTGCTGATATGTGAAGATATCAGACGTAGGTTCCATGTAAATACACATCGCTGTATAAACAAACTGGGAAGTGGAATTTGCTTGCAAGATTTTTCGTTTCTGGCCTAACAGTTCATCATTTGATCATTTTCTTGATGACTGGTTAGCGTATTCCATTTTGAGCATGTTACCGATAGTGATAAGAAAATGCTTTAAATATGAAGCAAGACAAATCTTGCATCTTTGTTTTACGCTTGAACAGACTAACCAGACATCAAGAAAGTAGACCTTTAAAGCTGAATTAGGCAATTTATTAAGAAACAATTAATAATCATAAAGGTTGATTCATGAGGTTGGATAGAACTGCTTCAGAAACTCAAAAGTTAAACAGAATATATCTGTTTTCTGACTTTTAATCCCCATGGGTGCGTCAAGAAAACAAGTCGACTTTCTTCACTCATTTCTTGTACTCCTCATACTGCCTTCACCGCTGACCTAGAACTTTTAGAATCCAATCGACCCATCATGTTTCGCTAAGCGGAAGCCAGTTTGTAAT